GAGTTCTTATCAGCTGTGTTGTCGCGCGCGTACTGAATAGTGGTGTTGTCGCGCGAGTTCTTATAAGCTGTGTTGTCGCGCGAGTTCTTATCAGCTGTGTTGTCGCGCGAGTTCTTATCAGCTGTGTTGTCGCGCGCGTACTGAATAGCGGTGTTGTCGCGCGAGTTCTTATCAGCTGTGTTGTCGCGTGCGTACTGAATAGCGGTGTTGTCGCGCGAGTTCTTATCAGCTGTGTTGTCGCGCGAGTTCTTATCAGCTGTGTTGTCGCGCGTGTACTGAATAGCGGTGTTGTCAGCACACTGTTCAGATTGATGCAGACATGAGACCTCTATTCTACTCATGGTTTGTCCTCTCAAGTGGGGGAAAGACAATGCACAACGTTACCCACTGCTGTCAACCTGGGCCAAGTCATATCTCTCTTGTCCCAAAAACCTCAGTCCCAAATGAGAGGGTTTTTTTCTGTTGCAGGGGACATTGTAAATGCCCAGAGATACCAGCTTTTACCAGATTATTTTTATATGATAATTTTCCTTTAAACCCATCTCTATCTAAGTGAGTGAGTGATTAAATGTTGAATGTGATGAGTTTTCAACAATACTAAATTAAAACTTTATTTTTTTTTTACATGGTTTAATATTTTTTTGTTATTAAAATTGAAGTTCCTGTTTCAAAGCGTACAGATAGATGACTAATTTGTATGTCATTGACACTTTTGGCACTTTTTTGGAGTATTTTCGTAAGTTTTGTTTTTTCCTGTAAATGATTCAATAAATACCGTACCGTGACATTCATACCGAGGTATTACCGTACCGTGAAATTCTGATACCGTTACATCACTAGTGGCTTCTGAAGATAGTTATAAAGAGACAGGCAAATGCACTGAACATTCTTATATTAAGCAATGTGTTAACTTATTCATTAATTAAAATCAATTCACAGTTAAATACTGAGAGACAGGATGATGAAAATGATAATTGTTGGCCCATGATGAGACAGATTGGAAAGCAGAAATCCGAATCCTTCACGCTGTAATGTAGCAGAGAAAGCTAAAATAGCGTCCAAATGCTGCTTTTCCACAGAGCTTGTTCTGTTTCTGTATTTGAGCTTCCAAAGAACACGACACAAAGACAGAAGTGCTTACAGTGGAAGTTTCAGCTGGACACACACCTTTTCAGTAATCTGATGATAATGTGACGTCTGCGCAAACGGGGAGAGCAGAGGTATGCAAATCCACTTCTTGACATGCAGGTAAGAAAGCTGATGCTAATGTTTGGACCAAGCATTCTGAGTGGACGAAGGTTTCTTTCTACTGGTATAAATACATCTAGGCTGAATATACACTGCAGATCTTGATGGTCAGTTTCAGTTTTGTGATCTGTATCTGACTTTTTGGATCATCCGCTTACATCTTCTTTTAAAGGTGACTCGATGCGTGCATTTACACCGCACATGCAAATTTGCAACAACCTGGCAAAGAATAAAGCAGGTGCTTTGATAATAAAATAGCTGTCTATTCTTCATTCCTGTATTTTAATCTGTTTGCAGGGTTGAATTTTTTCATACTGTTAAGGTCAGAATTATTAGCCCTCCTGAATTATTAGACTGCTTGTTTATTTTTCCCCAATTTCTGTTTAACAGAGAGAAAAAAAAATTTCAACACTTTTCTAAACATAATAGTTTTAATAACTCATTTCTAATAACTGATTTATTTTATCTTTGTCATAATGACAGTAGATAATATTAGACTAGATATTTTTCAAGACACTTCTATACAGCTTAAAGTGACATTTAAGGGCTTAACTAGGTTAATTAGGTTTACTAGGCAGGTTATGGTAATTTGGCAAGTTATTGTATAATGATGGTTTGTTCTGTAGATTATGTTTAAGAAAAAAAAGCTTAAAGGGGTAATCATTTTGTACCAAAAATGGTGTTTAAAAAATTTAAAACTGCTTTTATTCTAGCCGAAATAAAACAAATAAGACTTTCCCCATAAGAAAAAATATTAACAGACATACTGTGAAAATGTCCTTGCTCTGTTAAACATCATTTGGGAAATATTGAAAAAAGAGGGGGGAAAATGAAGGGGGCTTTGAATTCTGACTTCAACTGTATATAGCATCCTTAAACACTGTTATTTCTCTCTCTTAGACACTGCTGCCAATTTTTGGATAAGTTGATTTGTTATAGTCTATTAGAGAAAATTCACATTTAGCCATCTTCTTTTAAAGTAGAGAACTTTTTTGATTAGTAAGCATTTTAATGTCATGTCCATTGTTACTTTATGTATGAAATAGCTTTATATTGTTTACATGGCGGCATTGTGCCAAAGTCCCGTTAAGTTAAGTCATTTCACTCTGCGGCCTATCTATGAAACGCCTCTTTGGCAGTATGCTCCTGCATTCAGTTTGAATGGGGAAGCATCAAACTCTCCAAGACTACATGCCAAGCTTGCAATTTAATTTCATATTACGAATAACCAATAAAATTAAACACCTGTCTATTTAGGGTGCTTTCACATCTGTAGTTCGCCTCATTTGGTCCGGACCAAGGGCAATAAATAATACCTTGTTGCATTTTCTGCCGTCTTTGGGTCGTTTTCACACCACACTGCTGGTTTTGGTCCGAACCAGTTGAAACGAACCAAAATGCAGTCATCTGACAAAATCCACATCACTCATTGGCCAGATGTTGTTGAACATATTTTCTAAACTGCTTATTGATTGGTCAGATTTCACGTGCGGGAAAAAGCCAATGAACTCCCGCAAGTAAACAAACCGGCAGACACAAAATGACGTTTTTACATTGGAGGGACGACTGCACTGACTGATCGTATGCCTGCTTTAGACAAACTATACATTTCGAGAATGAAGTGCGGCTGCGGCTGGAAAACAATATTTTAATGCATTGCTCATCACTTCAGGAGGAGGCGTGTATTAATTTAGCTAAACTGCGACATGGTCATTTTGCGGAAATATTACCAACGATCCATTAGGTCATGTTTTCCCCTCTCTCTCTCTGTAGGTAAAGCGCTGTCAACAAATATTTTTCCTCCATATGCCATAATGCACAGCGCATCGGCCTACGGCAGCTGGATTAGTCCAAAAGGCGCAGTACTTTTTGCGGCTGGACCTGTTTTAGTTCGGATCATATTCTTACCATAAACGAACCGCTCCAGGGTTCGTTTGAAAGCGTACCGAGACCACCTCTTAAAGCAGGTCTCGGTACTCTTATTTGGTCCGCTTTTGGTGCGCACTTGAGTACGACTGCTGCATTCTCACCTGCCCAAACGAACCGCACCAAAAGGGAAAACGAACTCAAGTGCGATTCAATCGAACTAAATAAGGCAGGTGTGAAAGCACCCTTAGTTTCATTTCTAAATGTTTGTCTCACACAAAATCTGCAGAAACTCACATCTGGTCCAATCCCCTCCCCCGGAGAACTGTCATTCTATAGCGATTGCTGATTGGCTTATGTACTAGAAGGCAGGCTTTATTTGCCATATAGCGATCACTGATTGGCTCCTTTACTAGAAGGCGCGGCTTTATTCGCCATATTGACAGTTATACTTTTTCCTATTCAAAAATATACGAGTGACTGGTCTTGTGTATTCTTTAGTCTGTGTTTGTGCACACTATCTCTCCCTCGCTCCCTCTTGCTCTCGTTAACATGCTAAAAGGGATAGTTCATCCAAAAACGAAAATTCACTTTACAGGTGCTGCCCCCAACCTGTAACCCAGGGGTGTCAAAGTCAGTGCCTGGAGGGCCGCAGCCCTACACAGTTTAGTTCCTACCCTGCTTCAACAAAACTACCTGTAGGTGTCAAACAAGCCTAAAGGCCTCATTTAGTTTGTTTAGGTGTGTTTAATTAGGGTTGGAACTAAACTGCAGAGTTGTGGCCCTCCAGGCACTGGCTTGACATGTGTGCTCTAACCATAGACCTCCATTGTAGAAAAACAAATATACTATAGACGTCAATTGTTACAGGTTTTCAGCATTCTGCTGAGGAAAGAAACACTGGATTGGAATCACTTGAGGGAATAAATGTTCAATTTTGGTTCTTTTCAAATGCATTTAACCTGTGCATCCTGATTATATAAAAGTTTTTTTGGTCTATTTATGAGATTTAAGGTATGGGACTTAAATGCAGAACTATATTTCTAGATGTAACCGTCACAATTGATGTCATTCGCTACCATTTTTTTTAATGACGTGCGACTCACATTGCAAATCTGATCTACCTGATTACACTGCAGACACAAGGGCACGTATCCAATCCATAACGGATAAATATCCTCATATGAACAAGGCCTAAATCTGATCTGAGTAAATTGAAATCCATGATCAACATTAGATTACTTTTTTTTTTTTTTTTTATCCTTTTTGCCTTTATTAGATAGGGCAGTATTTGAGAGAGGAAGCGAAGTTGGAGAGAGAGAGAGCAGGGTAGGGTAGGGAAATGTCCTCGAGCCAGGATTCGAACTCGGGATGCCCTGACATGCTATATGTTGGCACACTAACCACTAGGCTGTTGCGCCGATGAAATTGGGTTATTTGAATCATACAGTGTAAATACAGTCCTAGACCTCGTAAAGAGTTGAGTGCTATTGAGAAGTAAAGAGACTTTCAGCCAGAACAACCAAAATGCCACCTACCTTGCCTAGACATCACAGTTTTGTATAACTTAAGACAAAGTCCCCTTAAGGCAAGTTTTTTTCACTCGGCGCTCATCTTTAAAATGGCTCTCGGGCATTTAACTTGAATGGGGAAACATCAAATTCTCCAAAATTGCTCGCCAAGCTTACGATTTAATGTCACATTGGAAATCACCAATAAAATTAAACAACAACCGTCTCATAAGTTTCATTTCTAAACTTCCAAATTATACAAAATCTGCAGAAACTGGTCTGGTCTAAGCCCCTCCCCCAGAGTATCGTCAGTCTATAGCGATCACTGATTGGCTCCTGTATTAGGAGACGGGGCTTCATTCGCCATATTGACCATTACACTTTTCCCATTCAAAACTATACAAGTAATATGTCTTGTGTATTCTATAGTCTTTGCTTTAGATGTCATCTATCAACCCATTCTGTCCGTCTCTTTCTGTTTTCCAGAACCTTTGTTTTTCCAGATCCACTGTTATTTCAGAGGTAAGAGCTCTTAATGAACTGACGTGAGGTACCTCTGGATGTTGAAGACGCCTTATTGTTGATATGTTGTCTGCTGGTTCCTGAGGATCGCGAGAAGCTCACAGACTCTGACACTTCAGATCTGACAGAGTCTCGCGGTTTATCGGAGCGTCGAGGTCTTGAGGGTCGTTCGCTTCTGGAGGCACGAGACTTCTTTGATGGGGCTTTGGACACGGCTGTTATCTCAGACTTCGAGGAGAGCGCGGACACCGCTGACGTTTTGGAGTTTGTGGAATGTTCGGAGATGATGGAAATGTTTGTGCGAGAGGAACGCAAAGCATTGGCCTCCACAACAGGAACGCTGAGAGTCGGCGCACTGAGGATGAAACATAAGAAAAAGTCGATGAAAAGCAATAGTTCATTCATTCATTTTCCTTAGGTTACTCCCTTATTTATTAGGGGTCGCCACAGTGGAATGAACCACCAACTATTCCAGCATATGTTTTACGCAGCGGATGCCCTTCCAGCTGCAACCCACTATAGGGAAACACACATACACTTTCATTCACACACTACGGCCAATTTAGTTTATTCAATTCACCTATACCGCATGTCTTTGAATTGCAGGGGAAACCGGAGCAGGCAGAGGAAACCACGCCAACACGGGGAGAACATGCGAACTCCACACAGAAATGCCAACTGGCCCAGCCGGGACTCGAACCAGCGACTTTCTTGCTGTGAGGCGACAGCTAATCACTGAGCTAACTTGTCACACCCAAACTTTGCAATATTCATTAATAATGTAATACATACAGTTGAAGTCAGAATTATTAGCCCCCCTGATATATTAGACTGCTTGTTTATTTTTCCCCCAATTTCTGTTTAACGGAGAGAGAAAAAAAATCAACACATTTTTAAAAATGATCGTTTTAATAACTAATTTCTAATAACTGGTTTATTTTGTCTTTGCCATGATGACTGTAAATAATATTTTACTAGATTTTTTCAAGACACTTCTATACAGCTTAAAGTGACATTTAAAGGTTTAAAGCTTAAAGGGGCGAATAATTTTGTCTCTAAAATGGTGTTTAAAAAATGTATAACTGCTTTTATTCTAGGCGAAATAAAAATAATAGAAAAATAAGACTTTCCCCAGAAGAAAAAATATTATCAGACATACTGTGAAAATTTCCTTGCTTTGTTAAACGTCATTTGGGAAATATTTAAAAAAGAAGAAAAAAATTTAAAGGGGGCTAATAACTTCAACTGTATATTATTATTATTAGTTAAACACTTACTGAATGTAGGTCTGAGATGAGAGTCTGGAGACTGAAACTAGAAAGAAAGCCCCTCCAGTGATCTGAACAGCACATCCCGACCATCCAAGAAACAACGGAACTCCCAATTCATATCTGAAAACATGAACACCCTTTGTTAAGATTACATTTTTTGTTTTGGAGTCTGGTACTGCTCTTGTCTTGCTTTTTCCCCTCACAAACCCTGACATCTCATGAAAAGATAGAATTGTATTGACAATATTGTATTGTACACTTTCAGAAATAAAGGTATGCGAGCTGTTCCTGTGGTATCTTTTCAAAAGGTACACATTTGTACTTAAAGGGTCCATATTGGTTCCTCAGAAGTATATATTAGTACCTACAAATTTTAAGAGGAACACTTTTGGACTTTTTAGGTACTAATATTTACTCTTGAGGTATTAATATGAACCTTTTAGGCAGAAATTTGTACCTTTTGAAAAAGTACCTTGATCCCAGTGACAGCTCGCATACCTTTATTTCCGAGAGTGTATAGTAAAACTTCATGTAGGACTTACTGCAAGCCAGCAATTGTAGGGTTGTAATACTCTGTATAAATACGCTCAGCATAAACAGCATAACCAGCGGACGCCAGCAAACCTGAGACAACAACACGGTCAGTCAAATACACACACACAAACACACTGAACTCTCTTAAAATAACATTGTGAAGACTTTTACCGCCTGATACGTGACAGATGCCTGCTGCACGCACAGATCGGTTCTTCTCATTGTCGTTTCCTCCGATGTAGGTGCACTCCATCCCTACAAGGCTGAGGATAATAGCGAGAACTCCGACACCCATGCCGGCCATCAGCAGAGCTCTCACGATCTGAAGATAACCTGGGCAGTCAAGATCCAGAGCACTTATTATTAGATAAACTTTAATATTATAATCTCTTTCTCTACATTCCTCAAACACCATCCGTCTATCTATCTATCTATCTATCTATCTATCTATCTATCTATCTATCTATCTATCTATCTATCTATCTATCTATCTATCTATCCATCTATCCATCTATCTATCTATCTATCTATCTGTCTGTCTGTCTGTCTGTCTGTCTGTCTGTCCGTCCGTCCGTCCGTCCGTCCGTCCGTCCGTCTGTCCTTCTATCTATCTATCTATCTGTCTGTCTGTCTGTCTGTCTGTCTGTCTGTCTGTCTGTCCGTCCGTCCGTCCGTCCGTCCGTCCGTCCGTCCGTCTGTCTGTCCGTCCGTCTGTCCCTCTATCTATCTATCTATCTATCTATCTATCTATCTATCTATCTATCTATCTATCTATCTATCTATCTATCTATCTATCTATCTATCTATCTATCTATCTATCTGTCTGTCTGTCTGTCTGTCTGTCTGTCTGTCTGTCTGTCTGTCTCTCTGTCTGTCTGTCTGTCTGTCTGTCTGTCTGTCTGTTGGTATATCTACTTTTTTGGGCTGCACAATATTGAGGTAAAAAAAACTGACTATATATGACCTATAAGAAAAATACTTTAAAATGATTTATTATTAGTCTAAATATTAATAAAAAAAAACTATAATGAAATGTTTTTATTCAGATAATTATTTAAATTTACAGGGAAAATTACTTGAACAATTTTCTTGTGGTATTTATACACTAAAAAGTGAGTAAAACTAGTTGACTTTTAAAAAGAAAGTGAGTAAACCTATTGCCTTAAATCTATTGAGCAAAAAAACTACATACTTAAAAATAAACGTAAAAGTTCCAACACAGCAGGCGCAGGATGTCAACATGACGTCCGATTGCTGCTTTAGGCCCTACTCCAATTTCGTGGGATATTGCATTTTGTTTGGAAATGAAAATCGGATTGATTGACCATTGTCAGAACGATGTCAATGTCCAACGTTGGACAGACGTTGCATTTTGGTTACTTTCCAACACAACCTAAAAATAACAAAATATCAGCATCTATTGATGTTATAGTTTGACGTTGTGTGGACATTACCACTATGACGTCTATCAGACGTCAGATTTTAGTTGCCATACCTAACGAATAAACGTCAGTATTTGACAACAATATGACGTTGGATTAGGATGTTGGCTCTACATTGAATTTTAGTCACTTTCCAACACAAACTAAAATCAACAATATATCAATGTCATTCGTTATTGGACATCAAAATAAAATTGTACTTAGACACTGGTGACCCTAATCTAATAATAACGTCTTATAATGTTGTGTGTCTGCTGGGGAGTTACAACAGATTTACTGACTTTTTTAAGTAATGTGAATTTGTTGGATTTAAGGCAACCCCAATGTGTTTACTCACTTTTTAAAGTAAATTACATGCTTTTTACTGTATCGTTGCTATGGTAGTACAACAACTATGGAAATATATACAAACTGAACTGGTTAGAACTGGTTTTTGCCAGAAAGGCAACTAACACAACTGACAACTTCTTGAGAAGTGTATCTCTAAATATCAAATTTAATGCAAATTGCGGGATAAACATTATGAAATAATTCAGTGGCATCATAAAAAGGCATAAGGTCTATTTAAATGTATCTATTGTAAGTTTAACATGTATATTGTAAAATTTGCTTTGTAATGAGGCAAAAGACACATGTTTATAACAAGGCAAAAAAATGCATGAACATTTGAGTATGCATCCTGATCTCACGAGGAAACGTAACCATTTTTTCCGTTTTATCAGTTTAGTAGTTAAGGCCGCAGTCACACTGGAGTTTAAGCTTGCGAAATTCTGTTGTACAGCGCAGCAACAATGGGCGGGATTAAACAAGATGATTAGACATTATAAAAAGCATGCGATTGGTCCATGTTTTAAATTTCTGTCCAGAGAGGTCATGTTTTGATTCTTGATTGGTCTCATGCAGTCAAGTGATGCGATTTCGCAGGTCAGAGTTCACCAAGCTTGAACTTTGCAACGCAGTAAACTGCGAAACTTAACGCACAAACTTGCGTTTACAGTCTGACGCATTCGTGTGCGTATGAATGGAAGTCTATGGGGAGAAAAGTCCAGTGTGACCGCAGCTTATTTCGTACAAATTAACTGAGTTTAATTGTACAATTTTCAAAAAGAGGCGTGGAACCAAACCCCACCCCTAAATCCAACAATCATTGGGGGATAAGCAAACCATACTAAATAGTATAAATGAGGTGTACGATTTCATACAATAAGTCAAAAAGTTACAAATTGCCTTGAGATAGTGCTGGAATTTGTATATTTAAAGCACGTTTATGCATTGTGTCATATCACTCAGCTCTTTCTGTGATTTTTCTGGAGTGAAAAGTTGCCAATAACTTAAGTAACTTCTTTTGTGTTCTCTTCTTATGAGGGTAAAATGAATTTCAAGCTGCGTTTTCATGTATGTTTTTGACCATGTTTATACTAACAGGGTAACACCATATCACAAAGCTCAAATCAACACAGATCTCAGACCAGTAGAGCCTCTTTGGAATGGCTAAACAGGAGATTTGCATGACAGATGTGCAATCTGCAGCCACTTTGTGATGCTACAATGCTAATATGATGATATATTGAATTATTGAATATCAACATTGATGCAAGAGAGTTAGAGGTTGTAAAACAAACGCTAGTAATGTTTATACCTTTGACAGCCCACAGCACGGGGAAATCGTAGCATCTGGTTGTGGAAGCAGAGTCGGTGAAGCATTCTCTCCACAGACTGGACCAGTGCCAGCCCACCGATATGATGTTGCTCCCACCGACCCCTCCAATAGGAGCGACCTTCCAGGCTTCCATGGCCATTGAACAGGACACAAAGATCCATCCCGTCACCGACAACAGAAACCCCCAGACCTGCATTGTACGAATGTTCATCCTTACCCAGATTTCTTCTTCTCCCCTTTTTTTTCTTTTCAAAACTTTGCTACTTATCTAAAATATACTAAAGTTTCTTTCTCTTGCAGCATCAACATGTTGGTTCGTGGTCCATGAAGCGAGACTGCTCTGCCTGGGACCGGTCAGGAAACTCACAGATCGCTCGTGTGAATCTATGACTCTCCATATTCCCAGGGCCTTGTTTTTAAGTTTCGGTAAGTCCGATGACTGCTTACCTGGCTTTCAGCTCAGATTTCATACATAAACATCCCAGGGAGGATCACACTACATGCATGCTGGGCTGACTAATATGTCTAATTTAAAATTATCTTATTTATTTTTAAGCTAAAAGGGCCCTTGTGATGATGTACACTTTAAAAGAGTGCTTATTGTGGGAATTATATACTTTAAAGGGACCTATTATGCAAAAAATCACTTTTATAAGGGGTTTTAAACACAGTTGTGTGGCAACAATGTATGAATATAGCCAGCTTCTAATGGTAAATTTTTTACACTACAGACAATTTAGCCTACCCAATTCACCTGTACTTCATGTCTTTGGACTGTGGTGGAATCCGGATTCAAACTTTGCACATGCAAACTCCACACAGAAACGCCAACCGAGCCGAGGTTCGAACCAGCAACCCAGCAATCTACTTGTTGGGAGGCGACAGCACTACCTACTGCACCACTGCATCGCCCAGCCATTGGTCTGTTCATTGGAAGTGACATACTGATATTTCCTCTGGGTTGCAGCTGGAAGGCCATCCGCTATGTAAAACATATGCCAGAATAGTTGGTGGTTCATTCCGCTGTTGCGACCCCTAATAAATAAGTAGATTTCAGTACCAATTAAATTAATGGGACAGTTCCCTCAAACACGCCACAATTGGAGTCTATAAAAATAATTTAAAGGGCACCTATGGTAAAAAATCTACTTTTCAAGCTGTTTGGACAGATCTGTGTGTTGGTATAGTGTGTAGACCGTCATACTGGGGTGATATGAACACACCCAGTCCTTTTTTTTCAATTTAACTACAAAAAAAGGGTCGGCCAATTGGAGCTGTTTTCAAATCGATCGCACCATTACGTAGGTGTGCGATCCCCCGCCCACCGAGTTGATTGACAGCTGCGCGCATTAACATGTTCCGGTAGTCATGTGTATATGTCAACGAGACCAGGCAGACATACGCAAAGCAACCGGGAATAAAAGGTCTGTTCTGTTCGCTAGGATCAGCAATCATCATCAAATGTGATTAAGAAGAGTAAGTTTCACATGTTTAAAGTATTTTAAAACAGAATATGTGTGTAATTAATTACAGCGTTTTACTTCAGCTTTACTTCATCAGCACAGCCGCGTGTCAGAACAATTATAAAAGAAGACGCTTCAATCCCGGTTTGTGGAAGTCAAATCAGGTTTATTTTGTACATTAGCATAACAGATATCCACACAGTACTTGAGGTTAGCCTTAACTAAGCTAAGCGCACTCTGTCTGTCTGCCTGCCTGCGTGCGTGTCATCTGCGGTGTGTGTGTGTGTGTGCGCGTGCGTTAACTTTGTAACGATATTGTGTGTGACTCATCAATGCAACTTCACAATACTGATTAGTAAAGGTTAGTTCTTACTGTAGTATCTCACAAACGCTATGTGAGACCTTCTTCCTTTAAGTCTGTCTGTTGTCGGACGCAGCTGAGGGAGGAGGCATGTAGAAATAGTAGGCGGGAAAGACTCGTCTTAAAAGCGCAGTACGACAAAACCACCCCTTGCTGGAAATCAGTATAAAACAGCATCTTGTAAAAGGTATAATGAAAAATCTGATGGGTATTTTGATCTGAAACTTTATATACACATTGTAGAGACGCAAAAGACTTATATTAAATCTGAAAAAAGGGGTAACCTAGGTGCCCTTTAAATGCAAACTTTGAAATATTTATAAGGTCTAGGGTGTCACAGTGGAGCCGTGGGTAGCACAATTGCCTCACAGCAAGAAGGTTGCTGGTTCGAGCCTCGACTGGGTCAGTTGGCATTTCTGTGTTGAGTTTGCATGTTCTCCCCATGTTGGCGTGGGTTTCCTCTGGGTGCTCCAGTTTCCCCCACAGTCCAAAGACATGCGCTATAGGTGAATTGGGTAAGCTAAATTGTCCATAGTGTATTTGTGTGAATAAAAGTATATGGGTGCTTGCCAGTTATGGGTTGCAGCTGGAGGGGAATCTGCTGTGTAAAACATACGCTGGATAAGTTAGCGGTTCAGTCCACTGTGGCGACCCCTGATTAGTAAAGGCACTAAGCCGAAAAGAAAATGAATGAATGAATGATCAGGTCCAGTACAATGAAACAATGAGGAATACATTTATTACAGAATTTATTGATCATTTTAGTTAATAATCATAGAGCTTCCAGTAAGTTATCACTCCTTTTTATTTGAAATACTTGTCTATAATCTGTAGCAGTTTTCTTTTAATTGTCATGAAAGTAAACTGTAAGGAACATGACTAAGCACACATCTTTTCCCCAAGGGGTTTCATAAGTTCATAAAGAGCCTTTATTTTCCCAGAAAACAGCCTCAGGGGTCATAACATTATTAATTTTGTGAAAGTGTGTGTGTGTGAGTGTGCATGTGTGTTCAAAGGACTTACTTAACACAATGCTATTAGGTGTGTGTGTGTGTGTGTGTGTGTGTGTGTGTGTGTGTGTGTGTGTGTGTGTGTGTGTGTGTGTGTGTGTGTGTGTGTGTGTGTGTGTGTGTGTGTGTGTGTGCGTTTGATGTTGATCAGCTTTTGAAGGTCTTGCTTGTTCCATCTCCTGGACAAGGTGAGAGAGCTTCTGAGAAAAAGAAGATCAGTGCTTTATTCGCGGTTTTACTAAGGGTTTGACATGATGAAGCCAGGGCAGGAGTGTCTATTTACACCATTATTGGGAGAGCATCAGCTGTTGTCTAAATGATTCTTTAAAAAAAAAACAATCATTATGGTTCTTGCTTTTTAGTCTAAAGCTGGCTCATGATGCCCTCTGGTGGTCAGTTTTAGATTCTTGAAAGCCATTGGTCTGTTTGTTGGAAATGACCCTATAGAAATGACCGAAATATCCTCTGGGTTGTGGTTGGAAGGCATCCGCTGCGTTTAACATATGCTGGAATAGTTGGGGGTTCATTCCGCTGTGGTGACTCCTGATAAATTATGGACTAAGCTGAAGGAAAATGAATGAGTAGTGTTTTATGTACTGGAAAAAGTATTATTATTTTAAACCGACCAAAATTAGGGTTTAATGTATATGTAGCTAGTGTGCGTTATCTATAGTAAATTAATCAAATTATCATTCTGTTATTTTTATGTACTTATTTTTGTCTACTTTGGATATATTTATTTCACTATATCGCAGGGAAATGTGCTGTATGAAATAAAACAATGATAATAAAAAAGTTGATTACATTCAAAGTGTTATGAAAGCTCGTTCCCGCCAATGAATAAAAACAATAATAAAAAAAAGTTTATTTGGAACTTTTTAACTGATAATTTAATAACTAATTTGGAGTTTACATCTGACAATGAGTGAAAAAAAGTCAGAATTACGAGTTTGTATCACACAATAGGGAGCATGCTAAATAGGACTTTGAATTTGCCAGTAACCAGGGTTAAGCGCTTCCGCCTGGCCCGGATTGGCTAATCGGGAGGACCGGGAGAAATCCCGGTGGGCCGGTCCGTTTTTTGTCCGCGAGGGCCGGTGTCCCTAGCTCCAGAATCTGTTGCTCTCAGCAGTCACACTTTTTAAATATAATTTATTTATTTACTTGACCACAGCCTTCTTATTTATTATTTTACCGCAGCTCTGCTCTTGTTATGATAATGATAATATAACTAGATAAGTCACCTTTTAACGTTTAGCTGTTGTGGTACAGTGGTTAGCACGTTAGGTTAAGACGCGGTCACCCAGGGTTCGGTCCTCGTCTATGAAGGTTTTTTTTTATATTTTTATTGTTAAGACATATAATACTGTAAGGGTTGTTGAACATTTGAAGTTCCAAAACAGCTGTTTTCTAAAAAAAAAAAAAAAAAAAAAGACATGATAGTGTAATTAGAAACTGAATTGGAAATACCTTATTTTAAGATAGTCAGTGGTGAACTGAGGTGGGCCGGTCTAAGGCTTGAAACTCCAGGGCTGAAAAAGAGTCCCACTCCGGCCCTGGCTTCCGCTCAACTGTATGCCAATGCAAAAATTGGCATGTATAAAGTCTGTTTTCTTTACAAATCGGCGATCTCCACTAGCTGAGTGATATTCATTATAAAGTGGGTCTCAGATTGTACAAAAAGCACCGCATTAAATTAAATGTTTCCCCGCCATGTCTTTATAATGAGAGCATTTATATACTTCAGTATATTCAATGGAGCTTCTGCGCTAGCCTGCCGATTCTTACGGTTGCGTGCGAGCAAACGGCTTTTTGTCTCGTTTTACGCTTGAGCAACTAAATGAATGCCTAAGTTTATTTAACTGAATGTATTTTAATTACATTACAACAACTATGCTGTAAAAGGAACCGTATAAATGGGAAAAAATTCACAATGACAGGTCACCGGAAGTTTATTTGTATGGGAAAAACACTAGCCAGGCATATACCCTATTCTGAGATTAAAAAGTCGCAATGACCTTTTGTTTATTCATTTTGCGGGAACGGGCTTCCATAACATTAAACATTAGTAAAACATCATTATATATTAATAAAACATTATTAGTTAATTTTCCTTCGGCTTAGTCCATTATTTAGCAATTGCAAATTGTCCGTAGTGAATGTGTGTGAATGAGTGTTTCCCAGTGATGGGTTGCAGCTGGAAGGGCATCCGCTGCATAAAACATATGCTGGATAAGTTGGCGGTTAATTTCGCTGTGGCGACCCCTGATTAATAAAGGGACTGAAAAGAAAACGAATGAATGAATTTTGAAGAATGCTGAAAACCAACCACTGACTTCCATAGTATGTTTTTCCTAACATGTAAGTTGATGGTTACAGTTTTTCAGCATTCTACAAAATATCCTCTTTTGTGTTTTACAACCACTTGAGGGAGAGTAAATAGGGATCCCTTCCCTTTAATAAAAACTCCCAAATTCTGAAGCAAAGTTCACAAATACATCTTTTATTATGTCATAAAATACTTCA